TCTAGAAGATTGAGGAAAACTATTTCCTTAAGAATAAGGAAGACCATTTCTATCTTCATAAGATATTTTAACAAAGAATAAAAGGAGAATTCAAGTTTGTTGATTTTAATCCTTAATTATTAACCCATAAATTTAAATTAAGGCTAGGATCCATATTTTCGATTCGAACATTGAAGACGGATGACGTGATCAAATTCGAACTTATTTTAGGTAGGTAAGGTTTTTATCAATTCAAATATTATGAAACTCCTGGATCTTTTAAGATTCATTGGTTCTTATCAATGGCATGTTTAATCTCGGATTATGCTCTCACTTTTGTGACTGGGTGCCGAGGATGACAAACGAGATATGAATAACCATGCAAACCCGCTTGACAACCTTGATGGCATTTATCATCTCACATTGATATGTCGGTTAACCACACACACTATATCAACAATGATAATTCCCGATATGCCCATCATATCTCTTTATAGTTCCTATTAGTGATGTGCATTTTCACAATAAATTAGCATACTTTTCACAATTTTCCTAAAGTAACTAGATTTTGGATTTTAAAGGTTCTAGTACTTTTAATAGCATTATACTTTTATTGTGAATTAGTGTCCTATCAAATCCGTTCGACTAATGACCCTCCACCATACAAGAGAACAGTGGGTAAGAATGGATACCCAACAGTATGGCTTCGTGAATGAGGCGTACTAGCGATTTGACTGACTTAGTCTGATACATATAATAATTATTAAACTTATAATTTCACATACATTATAAGGTGTATTTTAAGATTTTACAAAATACTAGGTTTATAATTTAAATTTTGAAAATTAATAAACAATTAATTTAAATTTAAAATAAACCAAATGATTTAGTATTTATCCATTAATTTAAAATTAACTACTCTTATTAAATCAAATAAGGATTAACTAATTAAATTAATCGAATAATTTAATCCTAATCCTTATCCTCTAATTTTCGAAAATTAGGGTATAGGATTTATTCCAGTTTTAATTATTTCTTTTTAGAAAAGTAAAATAATAATTACCAAAAATTTGGAAACCCTAATATCCTAGCCATTTTCGAAAACTTAGGGAGGAAGGTTAGGGTTTCAATACCCTAGCCCTAAATTTCAAAATCAAGGGGAGGAAGCTAAGGTTTCGAAAAACCGTAACCCTAGTCGAAACGCTTGGCTTTTAGGGTTTACTATCCATAAACCCTAATAGATCTAATCCAACAATTATAGCACTTTCATTGAAAACAAACCAAATGCTCTAATACTACTGATAGGTTTTACGCAAAACAAATAAACTAAAAACCATTAAGTTTTCATGCAACCTGAATAGGATCTATGGTTTCTCTATTGAACCTATAACTAAGAACATCAAATAAGAAACCATAGAAACCCTAGGTTATTTTCAAAAATTATAAAGTAGGGTTTAGGATTACATACCTTAAATGTTATTGTAGTAAATAACAATGATTCCATCTTGTAGATCTCTTAGAAGCAAACACCACAAGTGTTGTGCCTCTTATGGTTCACACCTAAGCTAGCAAGAAGATGAATTAAGAGATATGAGAGGGGAGAGTAACAATTTTCGTCTAAGATTTAGGTAAGGGAGCAGTGGACGAAATATAGGGCTAGGGATGGCCTTATATAGTTGAGGAATCTTGGGGCCAAAACTAGGGTTTAAGGGATAAGCCCTAGATTGATTTACTTGGTGACCAAGCAGCCCAATCTCCGTATTCAAAGAGCCTTGGACGGAATATTCTAGACTTGTCCTAGAGGATTTTTGTCCACCTCATCCCATGAGGTTATATAGCCTTCCTTCTTCAACTTTCAATAAATAACCAAACAGACCCTGTAATTTAAACTAATCCAATTAATCCTAAAATTAATTTCAATTAATTTATGATTAACTATTATTTAAATAATAACTTTTTCTGATTAATATATTGTTTTCATAATACATTAATAAACTATTTAATTCAATTTATTAATCATTATAAATTAATCTCTCTCTCTCTCTTTCTCTCTCTCTCTCTCTCTCACTCACACACACACACACACACAAAGGCATCTTGACCAATTGTTAGGTTTGAGGGCAATCCAAAAGGACTATGCTACTATCAATTTAAGTATATACTAATTTTTAGTTATGGGCTCAGATACCTAATCCAACAGAAAGATCATGTTTCTGCTAAGTTTTGTGGGACTCACAACGTGACGGAGAGATGTTCACATCGTGAGGTCAGCCCAAAGGTTTGTATGTGACGGAGTTGGCTGAGTTAGAGCGATTCAAGTTAGAATTGGGTCAAGTGTACTCTCACGACGTGAACAAGGGTTGGTTACCACGTGAGGGTAGTAGTGGACAGTGTAGGTTGTTGACTTTGACTTTGACTTTGACCTTTGACTTTTGACATGGGTTGACTTTTGGTCAAATTTCCATTTTTAGAGGTAGACTTACAGTTTACCTCGTGGGGATTATTAGGAGGTGTTTATCACCCATTCATTGGTTGGGGGAATCTGCTAGCTATAGACGGTGTGGCATTAAGCTGAGTTTTTAGCCGGCTTTATGAGTCAGGTGAGTCTTCTCACTATACTTGCATGTGTGGTAGTATATACATGTCGACTAGCTTGGTCTTATTTTTTGGTTTCTATTATATGTGAAATGAGTTGTTGATAACTCCTGGACTACTATAAGTCCATCGGACTGATGATAGTCCCCCGGGTTACTGATAACCCATGAGGTGTACGGTTAATCCATCAGGATTGTTGTTAACCCATCGGGGCTATTGATAGTCTCTAGAGTTTGTTGATAACCTTTAGCTGATTATTATGATGTGATGTATGTAGTATTTTAGGGAACTCGCTAAGTTTTGTGCTTACAAGTTTATGTTTATGGTTTCAGGTACTTCCAGTTCTAAAGGGAAGAGCTAAACATGATCGTATCGTATCCACCAGGGTTCTGCATGATTTGATTTGTTTTGTAATCTGATGATTGTATGACATGTTTTTATACTTTGTATGGGTTTTCAAATTGAATGAATGGTTTTTTGATTGATTTAAAGAAAAAAATTCACTCATAATTTTTGGAACGTTACACAATGGGATGGATTGATTGTATGAGAATCGCTCCAAGCCATCATCCAGATGCATTGTAGTAAATTTCAAAAGGAAGAGTAAAATTGGGTAAAGCTAGGATTGGTGCAAAAACCATGGCTCTTTTGAGAGTTTCAAAAGCACCTTGAGCCTTCTCTCCCCATATGTAATTATCCTTATTGTTGACATCATTAAGGGGTCTAATTATTTCATCATAACCATCTATGAATTTCCGGTAGTACTTGGTTAGTCCCAAGAACCCACAAACAACCTTTATTGATTTAAGAACCGGTCAATTATTAATAGAGTTAATCTTTGTCAAATCCATGGAAACTCCCCTATCATTGATAATATGGGCCAAATACTTAACTGACTTTCTCCCAAAGCTACTTTTCTTTTGGTTAACTACCAATTTATTGGTTTGCCATGGTGTTAAGACTTCAACTAGTAGGTTTAAATGGTCCCACGTCTACTATACACCAAAATATTATAAAAACAAGGACCCCTTTTCGTAACATAGGTCGGAAAATGTTGTTCATCAAATCTTGAAATGTCGTTGGAGCATTGATTAAGACAAATGGTATAACCAAAAACTCATAGTGGTTGTTATGTGTGCGAAAGTGGATCTTTGCAATATCGGTCTCACATACACGAACCTGAAAGAAACTCAACTTTAAGTAAATTTGGAGAAAAAGCGGTGTTTTTCGTGAGTTCATCCATTATCTCTTCCACAATAAGTGTATGGTATTTGTCTAAAAATGTAAGTCGATTTAAAGCCATGTAGTCGATGCAAAGTTGCCAAGTAGAGTCCTTCTTTTTAACCAAAACTATTGGGCTTGAGAAGACACTTTGAATTGGTCTAATAAGACATTGATTCATCATATCAATGGCATGTCGTTGTATCTCATCCTTGTGTAAGTGGGGGTGGTGATATGGACGAACATATACTAGTCCTTGGCCTTTCAACAAATTAATCGAGTGTTCAATAGATCGGGACATTGGTAGCCCCCTTGGAGCTTGGAAGAGATGGGAAAGTTGTGGAATAAGGCCATCCAATTGCGTATGTTGATCAACAGTTAGCAAGGTGGGGGTAATGATTTTGGAGTTGGGGGTATTGTCCGGTTGTTCCTCAAGGCATGCACGGAGTAAAGAAAGTCTCTAGTCATCGTGAGTTGTTCCTTGAAGCTTGACTAGGGAAGAATTATCCCAAATTTGAATACATTATGTAAGCTAATTGAAAAGTACGTCATCTAGAGTACCCAACCATGCAATTCCCAAGATGACATCTAAATTCCCAATGTCATAAACTAAAGCGTCAATGACAAAGGAGAAAGTGTCAAACTAGATAAGGACATCATGACATTGTTTTGTCACCCCTTAATTTAATGCCAACCTTGGGAATGGATTGGATAGCAAGGCCAAGGGATAAGACAAGCCTTCTATAAATAAAATTATGGGATGCATCAGTATAAATCAGAATAAGAGTAGACAACACATTAATTTCTCCAGTGATTTTGATGGTGGTAAGAGCAAGTATAAGGTCTGACGGGAAACCCCATGATTAAAGGGACAAACGTTCACCCTCAGTGACATCCTCGTAACATCCTCGTCTGGAGTAGGGTTATTAGCAGGAGATAGCTTGTCGTCTCCGTCAATTTTGTCACCCTCAGGAGCAACCCTCAAATTTCCCTTAGCATATTTGTGTTTTGGCGTGTACTTCAACCATAACTAAAACAGATATCCTTCTTCTTATGATTTTCACATTCGAGTTTTGATAGGTGATGGGTACTAAGGGACCATAACTAAAACAGATATCCTTCTTCTTATGATTTTCACATTCGAGTTTTGATAGGTGAGGGGTACTAAGGGTCCAGTTCAAAGTTATGAGTTTATTTGTATAGTGGTTTTGGGTCAGCTCAATTGTTTGAGTGGGTTTTTAGAGTATATCGCCCTAGTGGCCTATGACTTGCTTCCAAGGTTAGAGAGAACAAGAGTGGATGAACCAGAGCAACTTTTAGTGACCGTCTTCTATTTTACAATCTCATGGCAGTTCTGATGTTTTAAGAGAATTGCATCGCTTGGTCGCACGTCACGGTGTTGAGAGTTTGCATCCAGTTTTTATTTCTATTTCTGGTTTAGCCAACTTGAGAATCAAACGTCTATATGCTCCTCCGATTAATTTGGAATGAAAGTTGAGAGTACTTCAAATTCAGAGATGTATCCTCCACTCCTTGATATAGAGATGCCAATCCCTCGTGATATTACTATTATTCTTGTCATATTATGATCCTTATCGTGGCTTTGTGCCTCATTCCTTTCCTCTAAATCCATTTGATATGCAAAACATTCATGTATACCCACAATATGTTGTATAGACATTTGTTGTTACCCCATTCTCAAGATCATGATCTATGAATCATCTGTAACAGTCGTTATCTCCAAATTATTTCACAGATTTAAGAACTCCGGGTAGATGACAAACATTTTTTCGGCCCAAAGTCTCCGATTCATGATGCGAGTTTCAAGCACGGTTAAAATTTAAAGAAATCATCACCACGACTCAAACACTACAAATCTATAAAGATCCATAACAGATCTTTTTTTTTTAAACAACCTAATGGTAATAGTTATGTTACAAGATCGATGACAAGCAAATAAATCTATAAAAGTCACAATTTTCTTCAAATCGTCTCTTAGCCTAACTGCCTGGACCTGAACAAATAAATCCAAATCGCTCTCATTTCAACATATAAATATAAAACGATATTTATTATTAAAAGAAAAAAAAAAAGTATAGATGTTGGAAAATAAGTAAACCTGGGGTTTTATTTTTCCAAATCCAGTCCTGGGCTCCCTGCATCCCCTGTTAAATCAAAAGAATAATTTAAAAATATAAGAATTTTTGGTGATTTTTTTAAAGAATCAGCAAATATTACATTACCTGCTGAAAGCGTTGTGCAGAATCATTCATGGAACCACCACCCACTGGCATTTGTCCATACCCAAAGCCCTGCAACACAAATCAGTTTTATTAAGATTAAAAAAACAAACAAACAAAATTATATAAAAATAAATACAATCGATACCTGAATATTTTGATGGCCTGCAACCCCAGCATTTTGATACTGCAACCAAAAAAAATGGATAATAAGATCATCAAATATACTAAACACAAGATAAACTAACAAGTAAATTGCTTTTTTGGTCCTTGGGTGTAACCGAATATTACAATTTTGGTCCTTATTTGAGGTTCTTGTAACATTTTTGGTGACGGATTTTGCATATTTCATCCTGAATTTATAGTGCCATTTTCTTGGTATAGGGACCAAACTTGTTACAAAAAAACTTCAAATAAGGACCAAAATTACAAGACAAAAAAACCTTTAAATTAAATTACACAAACACATTTAGAAAAGAAGAAATAACAGTTTTGGTTCCCGCTGATTTCTTCAATTTTGGTCTTTTTTTGTAAAGTGTTGAGAGTAAAATGATTATACTTATGGAAGCAATAAAAGTTTGTAAGAGCAAAATTGCCAGGGACCAAAAATGCATTTTAGTCTATAATAGTAATAATAATAGAAGAAGAAGAAAATTTTACGGGTGTAGAGTGAGTGGGATTTTGCAAGTGTTGAGGGTGTCGCCCCTGTTGCATCTGATTCTGAAACTGTGGAATCTGAGTTTGCTGATGTGGCAGTGGGACACCTTGAGTGAGAGGTTGCATTTGCTGATGTCCTTGACTGTGTGAAAGACTTGGAGTTTGCTGATGTGGAACACCACCTTGACTGTGTGAAAGAGACTGAGTTTGCTGCGGTTGTTGTTGTTGCTGTTGCTGTTGCTGTTGTTCTTGAGGCTTCTGTTGTTGTTCAAACAAAGCCAATTCCTCCGGTTTCTCCCACTGTAGGTAGGTAGGTATGTAATTTCAGCATATCAATCAATTTTTAAAAAAATAAAAAAATAAAAGTTATACCTTGCTTTCGCCAGTTGTACTATTGTAGTAGTACTTATATCCATCAGGGGACGTGTGCTCAGTCCAGTTACATTTCAAGGATGGCATGAGCGGAGCAGAATTAGGCGGCGGCTGCAATCTAGCAGGAGGAGGAGGTTGAAGATTCTGCTGAGGTGTGATAAGTTGCAGTTGCTGTTGAAGCTGTGAGAAGGCTTGTTGAGAGGACTGGTAACTCGCCTGTAAAGTTTGTTTTTGCTGAGTCAGCATCTGAGCGAGTGGTGAAGCTGACTGGTGGACAGGTGGCACCTGATACTGATTTTGGGGTAACACTGTGTTGAAACCATGGCCATGTGAATGTGTTTGACCACTGGAATTGGGTGGTTGTTGTTGACCAAGTGGTCTTATGGTGTTGGAGGATGGAGGCTGTGGTGATTGATTTGATGGCTTTTTTAAAGGAGATGATGAAAGTTGCAACACTTTTGCATCACCAGATCTAGCTGCTGTCATTTGGTTGTTCATGCCACCAACATCAACTGGGCCCATCGGATGCCATGCGTTACCATGCATTGCTGCCTCCCCAGGATTCGGTGGTCTGAAAAAAAACACACACACACACACAAAATTAATTACATTTTTGATCCTAAACTATTAGCTGAAAAAAGGAAATTATATATTGAAAGAAACGGTTATCCTCAAGGACCAAAAATGTAAATTAAATATACAAAAAGTATATGGGATGGGATACCTAATTCCTGGGGGCTGCATCCGAGGACCAAACCCGGGGCCACCAAATGAAGGAGTTCCCCTGGAAAAAGAAAAGAAAACTATATAAATACTTGTAAACTTCCAATAAATATTTATACCTATAATAAATAAAAAAGAGAGAACCTTGTTTCCCCAGGTCTAGGTCTTTTAGGGTCCGCAAATCGAACAATTAATGGCTGTTCACAACCCTGATTTTTTTTATGAAAAAAAAAATTAAAATTAAAAAAGGTAAAATGAAGAAATTCTAGAGACAAAATTTGAAGCATAAAATTGCTTACTCTCATTGTGTAAATTCCATTAAGAGCATTAATAGCTGCCATTGCCACATCTCTATTTGAGTATTTAACAAATCCACATCCTACACAAAATATTGAGATATCATATGATATGAAGACATATTACAGAAAAAAAAAAAAATTACTAATAATAATAATGACACGAGGACAAACCACGACTCTGTTTCATTTCATCGCGCATGAGATAGACATCTTCAACACGACCATAAGGCAAAAAAATCTGAATATTAATTTTTTTTACATTATTTTCATGCATATAGATAAAAAAGAAAAGCAAATACTTATGAATATGTGATTTGACTTACTTGTTCAACTTCTTTCTCTGTTGCTTGTTTATTTAATGAGCCAACAAACAATTTGAACTCCACTGCACCTAACACAAAAGAACACAACATCAGGATCAAATCCCAAAGGAAAACAAATGCATCTAATCAATCTATCATGTAAATTACCTAAACGTTCACGCTCCCCATCAGCATATCTGACCTGGATGGGACCCATTCCCTGTATAAAAAATAAAAAAAAAATTTACATTTCACACTCAACTAGACTTCACCAGTTTATCAAAAAGACAAATTAAAAAAACACCAACCCCTGGCAATGTGTACTGATTGTGTAAGGCACGTATTGCCCTGTCAGCATCTTCTGATGTGGCATATTTAATAAAGCAACATCCTGCAGAGGCGAACACCGTTTGTCCTGGTATATTAAACAACACTACAATCAACCATTCAACTAGAAAAACATAATAAAACAATTCAGCATTATGTGCTATTGAATATCATTCAATCTCCCATCACATCTACTCCAAAACAACATCTAATGAAACAACCACCACAAACATTAAAAAAAAAAAAAAAAAAAAAAAAGTAAAACACACCTAGGTCCATTATTTTGCAATATCTAATCACTCACAAGTCACAACCAAAAAAAATAAAAAACAACTACATGATGATGCAAATGTACATTCTGTCTCAAAAGCTCATCAACAACCATGATAAAGTTCCTAGATTTGTGAGGTTTAACCAATGAAAGACATTACTACTCATTCACATTCTACTTGAATCATACACACATTTTTATTTGTTAGAATAAAGTGGCAAGAATCAAATACAAAAAGATACAACTATTGGAAAACCATCACATATTATCACAACACCACAACTTAAACTACATAATATAGAGAAAGAATATGCACATCCAACATTCATCTAATAAATCAAACATTTGGTATAGCTAAAAGAAACATTTCCAATTATACAATGTCATCAATGATACAACTAAACCAAACATGCACTATATGTTAAAAGAATGCAACTAAATTTCCCACAAAGCAACCAAATAGAATCATCAAGTTACCATGAAACTGCAATAGTAAAAGATCCATTGTATGGAAAACTAAAACATATCCCCCAATGACAGAAAAATTCAGCAATTCTAAAGAATAAAATAGCAACCATTAAAGACAATCAATCTAGTGTCCCTGAATAACTCAACCAATGAAATCAAACAAGATTCTTGAGCCCAAAAAGTAACTGATAAGTTAAGAAATTCACTCACAATGTACCTACAAGGCCTAAATGTTCCAAAGATGATTTCAAAACACAAACAATACACTATAGTCTATAGTCTATAGTCTATAGTCTATAGCTTATAGCAACCACATAATTCCAACCACAAAACTAGATGTTAGTAGCAACTATCAACCCATCCATGCAACCACCATATTTCCAATATCACAACTAAATTATACTAACAAGCATTCATAGATTAGTTTTTCAGGGTCTAAACGCCAAAAAGAAGTAGAAATCCTCAAAAGTTACAATGCTGGAATCTACCCACATGCTACAAATAACCTAGTCGTCTGTCAGTATCTCAACACTATTAGATAAGCTTTTTAGGTACCAAAACTTCATCTAGAGAGAAGCTTGCAATGTTTATATGACACATTATTCTGCCCCCAAAGCAACATCTATCAACATCTTCCATGAACCAACTGTTATAGTTACTGATATTTAATGGTTTAGTTTTATCTTCTTCTTCTTCTTAGACAGATATGATCTTGCAAACCATAATAAGAGGCCTGAAGATTGCCAAAACAACTAACTGGGATTCTGGGAAGAAACATAACTTTACATTTGCTTCCCTTCAGCCCCTCAAAGGACCTGAAAAGAGATACCGACACATATCAAATTACAGAAAGCATCTATGTAATTGCACATACCTTGTTGTTGCCCTGTTCTCTTGTCTTTAATCAATGCAACCTCAACAACATTTCCATGTTCTTCAAAAACAGGTCGGATCTGAGATCATATATAGAGTTCATTAACATTATAGGAAAGTTAGTCACCATGCAGACAGAAGGCAACAGCAGGCTAATCAGCCTAGCAGGATAGATGAAATTGCCACATTTTATAGAAAACTAAAAAAAACTTCAGTCCACAACACTTAGGTAGAAGTAACAAAAAAATGCCATTTCACAAGTTCGGAACTTACATCTTCTTCTGTTGCAGTCTTGGGAACAGAACCAACAAAAAGCTTGGCGAAGCTGCCTCCTTCAGCAGGTTTTTTGTCAAAATTGCCTCCATCAACATTTCTTTTATCAAAATTATCTCCGTCGAAGTTCCTTTTCTCAAAATTGCCTCCATCAAATCGATCTATAAAGAATAACAATGCAATATAAGCTGGACGACTGAGGTTGTAGCTAATGTTTGATACTCCTTCGCATGAAGGTCAAAATAATAACTTTAACATGCAAAATCAACGAACAAATAGTAAATTTAAGCAAGCTAACCTGGGGAAGGCCCTCCTCGGCCAGGAAAAGGAAATTGACGTTTCTGGCCCGACATAGGCACCTCGTAATCAGGATTAAACCTTTTCTGCCCAGAAAGAGGTACCTCGAACTCTGAAGAAGGATTGTTGTAGCTCCTAGCACCACGCACACCTAAAGGCCGGAAACCACCGTCGCCATCCATCGGGTGAAAACCTCCCCCGCCGCCACCACCACCACCTCCGCTAAGAGAATAACGAGGTGGACTGTTATCAAAAGGACGACGATTTCCAGAGAAACCTCCGTGGTGACGATTCATTGGAATATCATCTGAAGATCGTGAAGGTGGTGGGCCTCCACCGCCTCCGCCTCTAGGGTGTCTGTAAGGATGTGAGTCGTTAGGACTATTCCCGTACCTGTCTCCTCCTCCTCCGCCTCTATGTCTGTCCATGAAAGAATGAAGCTTCTCCAGAAATTATTTCAAGAGATAATAGAAACCCTAACCCTAGATTTTTGAGATTTTGCGATAAAAATTATGAAATTAATTTTGGGATTGGAAATTAAACTTCAGTAGCGGAGAGCCGGCGACCATGATTTATTGGTCATGTTTGTATATATAACTCCTCGAGGTATTGTTGTTTCCATTTTTTACCCCTGACATGAGTTTTGCTATTTCTTGCTTTTGCTTGATAATATATTTTGGATATCTACGCTAAAAGTATCTACATTTTGGCAAAAGTTTCAAAAAATTCAAAAAAAAAAATTAATGAAAAAACCCAATGAACCGGATAAACTGGACAATTTAGCCCTTATCATCCGGTGACCCTCATTTAGTTGGTTACAAAAGTCTACATGGCATCTTAATGATGATTGTATCGTTGACCTCATTGATTTTGGGTTATTAAAGAAAATCATTTTTCTCGTCTCCTTTATTCCTGACAAATCGACCGATCGATTCTGCTCGTGTCCTTTGGCGATGGATGAAGTATTTGAGCCTGACACAATCGACGTTCAAGTTGATGAAAAAAAACAAATCAGTTTCAAGATGTAAAGTTGAATTCCTTAATGCTCTTTGTGAAGACAGTGATGACGAACTAGTGGAAGGTGAAGGAGAGAATACTCGGGTAGAAGTAGATGATGAGAAAAACACTAAAGAATCTAGTGATGAAGATGAAATCGTATACGAAGGTCAAATGGAATGTGATGAAACCGGTTATTGGAGAAATGTATGAATCTAAACATGAACTAAAATTATGTTTAACAAATTATTCCATCTATAAGGGTTATAAAATTCATTTCAAGAGGTGTGATAGTGTTAGACTAGTGGTTGTGTGTGCTAGTGATCCAGGAAAATGCTTTTTTATGGTTCGTGCTTCATGGATGAGTACTGAAAAATCATTCCAGGAATTTTACTAGTTAAAGGCTTATGAATCCAACTTGGTTAGCAAAGCAGATTGTGAAAAAACTATTAAGGAAACCAAAGTTAAAATGCAAGGAAATGCAGGCAATAATTCAAAGTAAATTTCATTGCAAGGTGTCATGGTTAAAATGTTGTAAATCAAGGTGTAAGGCACTATCCTTAATTGATGGAAAACTGAGTGACCATTATGTAAGAGTGTGGGATTATGGACATGAACTGATGAGGTCCAATCCAAGTAATACAGTTAGGGTTTTTGTTAATATTAACCTTGATCAAACTATAACTTTTCATAGAATACATATGTGCTTTAAAGCAATCAAAGATGGGTGGAAGATAGGATATTATAGGGTTATAGGGTTGAGTGGGTGTTTTTTGAAGGGACTATGCAAGGGTGAGCTACTAACTGCAATAGGTAGAGATGCAAATAATCAAATTGTAACGCCTGTAGATCCGGGCTACTCAATTTAGAAAAATGACTTTTTGATGGAAGATTATTTATAAGGATTAATCTTAACCAAGTTGTAGTATATGTCACAAGGTTTCCGTGCATATAAAGAACGCCAAAATCCGAGTTATAACGAAGAAGTTATGACCTGTCGAAGTTTCGGGACAGAACCGGCATGACCCAGCGCGACCCAGCACGACGTAAATAGTGAATTTAAGGTAGATAGATATCTATCCTTAGTGATCTAAACGAGAGTCGAAGATGTCATTGATATTAGTCCAACGATAAAAAGACAGACGAAAACGGAGTTCAGATGAAGGAGTTATGAAATTCGAACGGGGTTTTCCTGTCCCGGCCTACTAAAGATAATATATAAGTAATATACTTATAATATATTAAAAAAATTCAAAATTAGCCAATGGAGTCTAAACGATAGTTGTAGATCATAATCTCACCTTCGCATCGATATAAAGAACGTCGAAAACGGAGTTCGTATGCAAAAGTTATGAATTTCTGAAGTTCAAGGCGCGAACCCCAAAACTGTCAGAGACCACGACGTGGCAAGTCTCCTGACACCTACGGGAGTCCCCCAGATGCAACTTGGGATGACGCATGCAGTGACGATCAAGCCCACGACGTGGCAATGGCCAGTTTTGCCCTATAAATAGATTTGAAGGGTCAGCCGAGTTTGGTTGCTCATTCTCTCATATCTCTCCCATATTACATCGATTTACATGCAAAGAAGTACCCCCGAAGCCCCGGTAACAACTCCGAGACCCGAAGCAAGTCCTGAAGCCCGAAGATCCTGAGAAGAAAAGAGTTTCCGAGCCGAAGCTCTGCCCGCGAGAAACCCGATGTGTGAAGTGATCCCGGTTTCACCGAAGAATACTACTTCTACAAGTCGTAGTGATGTCCGATCATCTTCTGATCAAATGAGTGTATAGTCACTTTCATCTTACACATAGATATGAAGTATTTGATAAAATACGTGCTATGTGTATATATATTGTTGTTTATACGCGTGAGTATGTGATCACTTTCTTCTAACATATACATATTAAGTATTTGCTAGGAAATACGTGCTATGTGTTTATATATTGTTGTTTATTTGAGATGAGTGTGGAATGGATGTTTCATATAGGTATTAAATGTTTTAATATGTATATGTATTTTATATCTACAAATATGTTGGGTAGAACATGGGTAGATGAATTAGATGATGTGTGATGATAATTAGGTGATGAGAAATAGGTGATGATAATTAGGTGATGAGAAATAGGTGATGATAGAAAGGTGATGATAGATAGGCGATGATAAATAAGTGATGTGAGATGAGAGGAGATACCATAACCTTTACCGGCGATGTGGCAATTTGGCGATGTAGTCATCTACCAGAGTATAGATGGCGACCACGAACAATTCTAGATGACCCGTGGAAACACCAACAGGTTCATAACATGTAGGTGATGAATTACGAGTCCAGGCAATGTTGTGGCTACGTATTCATGCGATGATACTCTAACCCTTACTATGAATTACGAGTCCAGGCGATGTTGTGGCTACGTATTCATGCGATGATAGACTAACCCTTACTATGAATTACGAGTCCAGGCGATGTTGTGGCTACGTATTCATGCGATGATAGTCTAACCCTTATTATGATTTACGAGTCCAGGCGATGTTGTGGCTGCGTAATCATGCGATGATACCCTAACCCTAACTAGACATATATTGAGGGAGTGATCCCCGAATTAGTATTGTCTATGCAATGTAGGCGATGATCCTTAGGAAAATTTCTTAGGAACAAGCATATAAGGATATAAGATGTAAGGAGATGAGCAGTAAATATGATATAAGAGATGACCCTTAGGATAATATCTTTAAGGAAGATTAAAAAGAAGATAATGGGGATGGGTAATTGGGTTGATTGTTTGATGATTGAATATAATAATTATATTATTGTGGGTTGAAAACCCTATATGCTCACCAGGCTCCCAAGCCTGACCCACTCAGTTTAATTGTATCACATGTATCGATACGAAGCTGCTTTGCACTGAGAGATTAAAGGAGATGTAAATCACTAGAGTAAATAAAATGTATGTTCTGTTTATGCTTATGTGTCTATATCGGAACATGAAATCCCGAGGTTTTATTATTTATTGAAAATACATTCTCTTTGAGAATTGTTTTGATAAGTTTTTATCATATCTTGTTTTGGGAACAAATTCCGCAACCGTTTTCTTTAAACGAATACTCTGATTTATAAAACAAAACATAAACAAATCGGTCTTTTTTTGCCGTGAAATTGGGGATGTCACACAAATTTACCCTATAACATGGGTTGTTGTGGAGGTTGAAAACAAGGTTAAATTGAAATGGTTCTTGGAACTAGTTAGTGAAGATCTTCCATTGGATGATGGCAGTGGATTATGTGTCATTAGTGATCAACACAAGGTAATGACATGTTCATTTAATTCATATCATCTATTATAGTTTTTAATAACAGTTACTAATATATTTTTTCATTTCCTAGGGCTTGTTGAATCAACAAAGGAAATTCTACCATATGTAGAGTACAAACAATGTGTTAAACATATTTATGCCAATTTTAGGAAAGTGTATAGTGGGATACAACTCAGAAACATGTTCTGGCAGCTGTAAAATCCACAACATAAGGTGATTTCAAGATAAACATGGATAGGATAAAGACTTTAAGTGAAGGTGCTTGTGATCATCTTATGGCTTAAGAACCTCATATATGGTGAATGGCATTTTTTGGTAGTAGTTTGGCATGTAAGTTTGTATAGAATGCGATAGTTGAGTGTTTTAATGCAGTCATTGTAGATGCTAGAAAGAAGCCTCTTTTATCTATGCTTGAAGAAATAAGACTCTGCGTGATCGAAAGGTTCTACAACTTAACAGAGGAAGCACAAAATTAGGAAGGTGATGTGTGTGAAGCAACACTTCTAAAGATGGAGGAATTTGCTAAGGATATAAGGTATATTTTGTAATTCGTATATAAATGTAGCTTTTTAATTGACTGTTATAACATTTATAATAACCTAAATGTTTATATTTGCATGACTTGGTATGCAGTGCCAAGTGGTGTTAATTCATATGAAATTATGAATGGCTTTCAAAATTATGGAGTTGATTTGGAACATCATTACTGCAGCTGCAGACTGTGGGAGATAGCAGCGATACCTTGTGTGCATGCACAAGTAGCAATCTTATACACCAAACAAGTTTCAAAGGAATTCCCTAGCACTTAGTTCAGAAAGAGTAATTACACGGCCACATATCAGTCTAACATACTTCTATTCAATGGAAGTAACTTGTGGGAAGAAACTGGCTATACCAAGCCCCTTCCACCTACAGCTAGGAGGATGCTAATATGACCCAGTGTCAAAAGAAGGAGACATGTCTTTGAGCATGAAGACAAGCAACCCTAAGTGTCTTTCAACGAAGTATGCACATTGTATTCAAAATTATCACAATTAAGAGTAACATGTCAAGTTTAATAAATGAGCAATGTTTGATTAAACTGCATGAATGGAAGAGTTATCATACTTACTCAATAACTAGTGTTAATATGATATATTATTTATAAAATCATTGCACTATATTCGTTTAACGTACATCAGTAAGACCACAGTTAACAATATACTCGATATTGGAATGCATTTTAATTCTGAATTTTGTTTCATTTTATTTCATGTGGTTGTTAAAATCATACATCACAACCCTTATTTTCCTTATATTTTCTTTTATTATTTCCAATTTAACATATGTTTGACATGTAGCACCATACTTTTCAAAACCTAATTTCTTATTAGAAAAAATGTGGTTTTACAAAAACTTTTAAAAATTTATTAGAGTTCACATTTTTCGGTGTTATAAACAATACCAACAGTTACACCATAAAAGAAAAGGATTGATTATAGACGAATTGGGCACTAGCCTCTGGTAAGTTTTCGAATATGACATTAACCTCCAACTACAACTATATTACATATTCCTTCAGTTATAAACTAAATCTGAAATTCGGGTTGCCCCGATTCATAGTGCCTCTGATCATAATCGAATATGGTTCTAGCCTCCGACTAATAATCAAATTTTTCTCTAACCTCTAGTTATTGTCTAATATGGTCTATTAACTCTAAGTTGTCTTCAAATAAGATCCTACCATATATCGGGGAGTCAATACCATTGGCTAACACGAAGCTAACTACATAATGTGGGCCCGTAAAAAATAATTTATTTATGCATCTATGGTAACATATACCCCTGTAAGTGTGACCCCTTTTGGGTAATGAATGTATTGATTCTCCTCATGGGGGAACTTATAGTAATTTTGTCATGATTCC